ATATATTTATTTATTGAAATATATTTATTAAAATATTATTTATAAAAATATATTTATTCATTCAACGTATTCATTGAAAATATTGAATTAGTATAAATAGAATTAATTTTTATAGTAAGTTTTTCATTATGTAATTTAAATTTATTAAATCATAAATTATCAGTCACAACTTAGTAAAGTAAATTTATAAATGTTTAATATAAAAAATTTATCTTTAATAAAGATTTTGTTATGGTTTTAGATTGTGCTAATTACTTTGGCCTGCATATTTTTTACAATTATATAAAATAAAAATACAAATTACATATTATATTTTATAACCGATTTTGATGATTAATCAAGTGTAGAAGTGTTTTATAAATTAAAAAAAATTAATTGTAGGAAGTTTACATTAATTTATGTGAATATTTACAATATTTGTTAAATTACTTATTTTCATAATGATATAAACATGAAAGTACAAAGCTGAGTATTATTACTTATAATAAGAGATAAAAAAGATTTCTTTCCATATGTAAATATCAATGATATTCATAAATCTATAAGAATGTTTATCTTATTTATATAATTAATTTATGTAATAAAAAAAATAATTTAATTAAACGATTGTTTTATCTTAAAAAATTATTATAGATTTAAAATTATTTTATGTTTTGTACAATCTTTCGTGTATTTGCAAAATATTTTGATTAACTCATCAACAACAAGAAGTTTAATTATAACAAATTTAAGTTTTTGGTACCAATAAGAATCTTTCTATTATAAAAAAACATTAATAATTTTATATATACTTCTAGATAGCAGAATTTTGTGAGTAAAACTTTTTGTCTAACTTTTTATAAATGCGAAAAAGAATGTAAATGTTTCACATTAAAGACTATAAATGATGATAATAAAAATGACTTTCGAATATTTTTATATAAATATATCGCATTTATATTAAACCTTTTTCAGAGGAATTTTTAAAAATATAAAACAATGTATTGGCATAAACTGGATTTTTTAATAACTAAAAATATTTCATCTGTTAAATGAATTTTGTGTAAGTGTAACTAATAGGATTCAATGTTTTCATACAATAGCTATATATTGTAATATTTGTATACATGTATATTTCCAGTAAATTATATAACGTTTTATAATAAATAATTAGAGAACAGTGTCATTTAATACGACTTTATATGATATAATGTAATTTAATTAATTATATATTTTTTTTATATTTAATAATAATTATTTCATGTACAACGTATATAATTAAATTGCAACTGAAAAATTGATCAATCCTTTTAAATTTTAATTATGCGTCAATATATAATGCTTAACTTCCGTTATGGCATTATTTTATTAATATTTTTATAAATAGATTATGAAATTTCTTAAAATAATAATTTTATTAATTACTAGCTCAAAAAAAAAAAATAAACATGATAGTAACTAAATTTTATCTAGAATTTCAGAAAAATATATCATTTATGATCCTAATAGGATCAAATTTCATCCCTAAATTTTTACTTTTAAGCGACATAATGATAGCATTGACATCAATAAACTCAAATAAATCAAATTATATTAAAAAAAATATATATACATACATAGGCATAACATTATATGATTTTTAATAGAAAAATTAGAAAAATATAGTGTTCTTACAATTAAATTGAAAAAAACTTTATTAATATGTTTACAAAAGAATACAATGAACATTAATGGTTTTCTAACTAATTAAAAATATATTTACAAAATTAAATATGTACTTGAAGTTACTAACTTAAAAATATTTATTAATACTTATTAGTTTCTAGAACAAAATAATACCATTCTTATTTATTTATAATACGATAAATTAATTATGTAAAAACATTAATTACATATAGTCGCTTGAGAGGTATAATATATAATTTTAGTCATTTGACCAATTAATATTACATTGTAATATTTCAGTGTAATGTTTCACTTATTAAATGTAAGCATATTTCTTATTATAATAAAGAAAATAGAAGTTACTGTTTTTTACAAACTATATTTACATGAGAAGTACAAGTTTTTTATTAATAGCTTTAAAAAATTAGATTATTAAAATTCTTGATAGTATATTCTTGAACATTTTAATTTTCTTTATAACTTTAGTTTATAGAAGTAATTGTTTGTAAACACGGATAAACTCTGTTACATTAATAGGAAAAGAATGTTATTATGCAATAGCGTTGTCATTTATTAGATTTTCCTAAATATGTATATATATATATATATATATATAAATGCATATTTATAATATATATAGTGTGCACACATACAAAGAGAGAGAGAGAGAGAGAGAGAGAAGCATATCAAAACGTTGGTGACTATTATTTATATTATTTAGGGCGAAACACTTTTAGAAAAATATTTTCAAGAGAAATATTAAAAATAAATAATTAATGATTTACGTATAAATCATACGAACCTTGTTTGCATATTCGCCACTGAATATTTTCTAGTAAAAATATATACAAAATTAATTTTCATTTACAAATAGGTTATTTATTTTCCTTTTTTGTTCATTTCTTAAATAATCACATCTAAATTGTCTTTTAGTATAGATCGTCCATGTGCGGTCATTCAATTTTTCGAATTCTGAAAAAAATAAAATCACCGTCATATTATTCAAATTATATAATATATCCATGCTTGCACAATTCTAAATTCACTATGTTATTAGTTCTTTTCAGTACTTTTTAAATATTTTATATTAACAGTTATACGTAATATAGGTTTCGTAAGAATTATTTTAATTATTTTATTTTATAATTATTTTTAAGATATTCTTTGTTTTTAGTATAATTAATTAAATTTATTTATAGATGATTTAAAAAATGTGCAGAGTAGAAGTAATTGTTTGATTGTCATTTTAATTGATTCATTTAATTTTCTCTTTATGCAGTAAATATTTTAAATCCGTATACACATGACATCTGATATCCATTACTTATAGCATTCTTATTTACGTGAAAATCGTATGTAATGAGTATAGGGATAAATGCGTAAAATAGTGTCCATAGGCGCGAATAAGAAATTTAAGTAGCCATTGGGATTTAAGTCATAAAGTGACTGAGCTGCTTTATTGCTGCTGAATTGAATATAAACAATTAAACATTGTAATTAGTACAGTATATACGATCTATATACTGACATCATGAGGATATAAATATTTGGAATGGCTGCAGTTAAATGAAGTCAATATCATATATCATTCAACTGAATAATCTCACTAATAACTGACTAATCTCTCTAGTTTTGAAGAGTTCTACTATTCCCTCGGCCTTTTCTGAGGTAATGAAATTTTATGTTCCTCTTTGTGTTATGTTCAACAGAACTAGTTCTGCAACATAGTTATTTTGATTTTACAAATTAAATTTCTATGTATCTTTAAATATTAATGAAAATGGATTTTCTAATATTCACTCAGTGTTTAATAAGAAATTATTTGAACCATTTTAAGCCTTTTCATTACAAAGAAATAACTTATGTATTTTTAAGAACAGAGCTTTAATCAATTATTTTATTTTGTATCCTCTTTTAAATTACTGTAAAGCATTTTTTATCTAAAATTGTTTACTAATTTATGTTATTCATGAATCACAATACAAAATTAAATAGAATAAATTTTTTACTATTTTAACGAATAGAATTACTGAAAATTACACAGAGATTTTGATCATTTACTTGTTTAAATTCGTAAATAAAATAATTTTCAATTATTTGATTATTATTCTATTCTATACAAAAAATAACAACATATTATAACTATATAAACATCCCTCTAAAAATACATTTTAAGTAGTTTGAAGCACTGGGCTAGACCAAGTTTAATATTTTTATAAATTATTATAAATAAGATTATCAACTGTTTATGAAAATTGAAATTTAATGTTTTATCAGGAAATATTATTTGCGATTTTATATATTTATTATTTATTTTGTGCGAAATATAAATATATTTGTATATTTAGTTTTATATTGCATTTTACAAAAATTAATATCTTAAAAGTGTAATTCGCTATACAAAAAAGTGAATTATTATATGCCATCAGCTACTGATTACTTATAATAAATTCGATATACAAAAATATGCAGATTATAAAATTAATTTTATGTCTTTATGAAAATTTAATAAGGTAGGAAGAATTATTCATCATTATTAATTTATTCGTCTATGATATCATATAGTTTGAAATATCCACATTTGTTTCTTTTAGCAGAATCTTATAACATTTTGAAATAGCTATAATAACTTTTTTAAATCTTATAAAAAAATCTATGTTAGAAGTGAAATAATAATTATATAAATATTATAAAAATTACATTGGTTTATACAAATTGAATTGAAGAATACTATGGAAAAATAAATTTATATTAACGTTATCTGACTTTATTTTTACAATATGTATATATTAAATTCGGTTGACAAATAGAATAAATTTTTTTATATTGTGCATGGAAAACATCTTAATTTCAAATTTCGTGTGTTAAGTACTAAAAAAACTTTTTAACTTTAAATTTAAAATTGGTTATTAAAAACATACTTATCAATCAAATAAATCGAAATAAACGTTTTCTTTATTTTTGCAATATTTAATATGTAATAAATATATTTAAATTGAGTGTTTATAAAAATTAATGTTATTCTTAAATTAAGTATATCATTATTACAATTATTATTATATTCTTATATATTTATATAGCCTTAAGTATTTTATAAAAATTAAATAATTTTATTGAAAACTTAAATTTTATTAAAAATTAAACTATCAATTACTTCAAAATTTAGTTTATATGTAATATTTTTAAATAGATTTTTATGTTATCTATAAAATTATTATAAAATTGTGTTAAATTAAGTTAAAAAATTTATTTCGAGCTGTAAAAATATAAATTATTTTAATTATTTATGCATTTCACGTTTCAAATAATTGTAAGTATTATTGTATTTATAACCAGTTTTATATTTTCACAGGAATCAATCGAGTACTTACGCAAATACTGATGTCAAGAATAAAAAGATGGAAGAATTGCTTTTCAGAGAATCTGCTGATGATGTTGACAGTGGCTGGAATAATAATGGGTGTAATCCTTGGTTTTATCCTAAAATTTAGCAAATCTGAAGATTCAAGCCGCGCGTGGACGAAGCGTGAAATTATGTATCTACAATTTCCTGGAGATCTTTTTTTGAGAATGCTTAAATCGCTTATCTTGCCACTCATCATATCGAGTATTGTTAGTGCTATTGGTAGTCTAGATCTTAATCTTTCTGGTAATGAATATATTAACTTACATTATTTTTATAATATTGTATTACAAATAAATTAAAAACTTTAACGTATTTTTATGAGTTAATGAAACCGCATTTCACAATTTTAGTTAAAAAAAAAAAAATATATATATATATATATATATATATAGATAAATCCACCATCTGTATATGTATATATCTTATTTTGTATTAAATTATATAATTATACTTTCATTAATTATCTATGAATTTTGTTAATATTGTTAATTTTTCTTCTTTGTATTTATTCGAATATATATTATATTATAATATTTAATATTATTATATTTAATAATATAATATTATAAATTATAATATAAAATATATAATATTTTAAATTTTCCAGAGATAATAGATTAATTATTAAATTTTCTTTAACATTCTCTATTGACTTAAATATTATTTTATATTTAATATTTGTTTATCTATCTTAAATTTATTCTTTATCGTTCTAAATAATTAAAAAATTATTTTATTTCTAAAATTCTATTCTTCCTTTTTAATTATTTAAGATAATAAGTAATCTCCATTAAACTTTAGAAAAATAGTTATTTGTATTTTTTATTTTTCAATGTTATTTTATATTATATTACTCGTTAAATATCTAAATAATTTTCAACTAAAACTTTGGATAAGATTTTATTTGTATACTTCTATTAAGAAATACGTAACTTAACGTTCAAAAGTCTAAAACATTCTTTTTCGTGCGCAAATTAAAAACCTTTATTTCCATGAAATTACCATTTATTTAAAAACAAGTTTCTAAATTTGTTATTTATTTAGGTAAAATTGGCATACGTTCGATATATTATTATGCAACAACGACAATTTGCGCTGTTATTCTTGGCGTTATTCTTGTAACAACTATACAACCTGGCACTTACGGTAATGAAGAGGACTACAGTATTGACATAAACAAAGCTCCAAAACGTAACATCACTACTACTGATACACTTTTAGATTTAGTCAGGTAAATATACAATTTTTAATAACTAAAAGATTTTATACAATTAATAGTACGGTTTATTTAATTTATTAGAGTAGAAATTTTTTTAAATTACGTAGTATTTAATTCGTTTAGTTGTAAAAACAATATTTTATATTTTACTTATTTTAATAAATTAAACTATTTGTCAATAATTCGATGGGAAAATGTTCATATATTCAATTTTTGATTGGATTCTGAAAATTAGGTTATTTCTTGGTATAAATAAAATTTTTTTTATTTATTAAAAAAAAATCTTATACATTTTCTTGATTTTTATTTTAATATTTATCAAATACGGTTTAAATTTACTTCGAGTAAATATCTTCAACCATATTATTCAATTTCTCAATTATTTTACTATATGATAATTGTAATTACAGATGTAATTTTTAAAAATAATATAATATATATTGAATTTAATATAATAATTAAGTGAAATAATATTTATTATACAATTTATTTTTGTACCTACAAACTAATTGTTTGAAATTTCATTGTTGTCAAAATTTTGTATACTTCAATTGTTGCAAATATAACGAATTTTTGATTTACAATAGATGTAAATTTTGTTAATTAAACTCTGACATTTAGCAATAAAAACATAATTTTGTTTTAAGTAATTTGCTATACAATTCTTACATATTATAAGAACTCTAAACAATTTTAAATTGTAGTAAATAAATTATTCTGAGTTTTTAAGTTAATTAATAGAGTTAAAGAAGCTTTTTTTTTTAAATTATAAATGTTAGTAATATAATAAAAAATATTTTTAATTCTGATATAAATTAAAAAAAAAATAAATTTTTGTTTAATTTCTTTTATTAATAATTTAGTTGGAGTTTATAAAAATCCTGAACAAAATCATTTATCCAATTGTTAAAAGTAAATATAATTCGTTGCAATTATGTATTGTAATTATATAATGTAATTCTAATAGCATTTTTAAATAACCAAGTAATATTTAGTAAGTCACTTAATTATTATAAAATATATTATATTATAAAGCAGCTAAAATATAGTATCAACTTAATAACTTAAAACAAATAAAATACAGTGATTAAAATCTTATATTACATTTATGAGTAATTCATTATTTTGTATTAATATAAAATAAAGTAAATATAATATTATAATTATATTTCTATTTTTTAATAATTTGAGAATATTAATTATAAAATTATATTAAATTATAATAGAATATGTGCTTAAATTAATGCTACATATTTCAGGAATGTTTTTCCACCAAATCTTGTACAAGCATGTTTATTTCAAGTACGTAAAATAATATTAAATTCTAGTATTTGACCATTTTTTTATATCAATTTTAAATAAAAAATAATCAATTGCATTTTTTTTAATAGTACCGAACTGAATTAAAGCTTCCATCAAATACTACAAATGGTGAGTAATTACGTCTGACAAATTGTTTGTAAACATATAAGATTAAAAATTGATCAGTAATCTTTTTAATGGGAATTGTAGAAACGTCAAAGTATAATTGGGATATATCATCTTCATACGATGATGGAACAAACACTTTGGGTCTTGTTACATTTGGTGTTATTTTGGGAATCACTATTAGTAAAATGGGAGATCAAGGGAAGCCATTACTCGAGTTCTTTAATTGCCTCTCTGAAGCTATGATGATTATTACAAACTGGGTAATTTGGTTAGTGTCCTGTATAGTGATGATACAAGTATTAATGGATAATATTAAGAGTGCAAATACATATATTTAATATTTCTTAATACATGTAAATTAAATTTAAAAATATTACATGTTTGTAATCATACATTCAAAAGTATAATACTAATTTAGTATGATGTATTAATAATTATAGTACATTTATACAATTTATTTTTTAACTTTTAAGTAGTTTTTCAGAAATGAAATAATAGAATTTTAAAAAACCTAAGATAAATATATGATAAATTATTGTACCATTAATTAATATCTTTTTATATATTTTTAAATACTGAGTATAATTTTAAGAATTAGATTGGATTAGAATAGTTAATTGAAATTTCACTAAAACTGTTTACTTAAAAAAACAAAAATATATATATGTATATAATTTTAGTATTTCGGTTTACAAATATGTAAAATAAGTATAATTATTAATTTAAATATTCAATTATTTATATATTTAATTTTTCTTTTGATGTTTGTATTAGAACGTTACTCTAAATAACTTTAAAATTAGTGTTGATTTACAAAGATATTATATATAGTATGTATATACAGTATTGTTAAAAAAATTGCTAAATATTACTCATTTAGTCATTCTGCTCACTCTAGATCACTCACTTTTGTATATTTGTTTCTTAGTAGCTTCTAGTTGCACATTCTTAGTTTTTGCTTCTAGCTATTTTTTTTTATATTGTCTATAAAATGGAGGAATATTAAATGTTTATGCAAAAACTAAGATTTGTATTTCATCTAGTTTTTATTTTCTATATTATTATGTTTATTTAAAACTTGTATACCTTACTTGCAGTTGATAAAATAATTATTCTAAGATAGTACATAGAAACAGTTTAGTATATTAAGATACAATAAACATCTTAATTCCTGCTTCTTCTAAGTAGGATAGCCAATAAAATACATTATATTATATTAAATAATCATAATTAAAATAATTAAAACGCTTATTTTAATTGCATTATTTTAATGTTTATTTTAATTATGATTACTTTAACATTTATTTTAATATAACGTCATTAAAATAAAAATTTCCTTTACTTTATACTAAATTATTATTGCTACTAATTTGTAATTGAATGAATATATATAAATATAATTATTATATACAACAAAAGTTAATGTAATTGTGTAAATAATAAATTAGGCTAGTTTTTTATTGGAATAAATTTATTATTTATGATTTAATGTTTTATTTGTGTATAAAACTATATCTATAAAAAACTTATATTCGAAAAAATATTTTATAAAAATTTCAAATCTATACTTAAAAATTATCGTTATATAATCTATTAATATACTAAATGACTTAATTACAGCTTTATTATATTATAACATTTTTATTACCTTTAATGATTTGATATTCTAAACTATCTTTTTATAAACTCGGATTTAAATAATTAAGTAAAAAGTATTAATCGGTAGGTTATCGCCCATGGGTGTAACTTTCCTTGTGGCCTCACAGATTTTGATCGTGAAGAATTTTAGAAGCATTATTGAGTCCCTAAGTATGTACTTCCTTACCGTTTTACTGGGTCTTTTGATACATGGTTTTGGTACATTGTCCATCATATTTTTTGTATGCACACGAGAGTTGCCATTTCGAGCCATTGGAAGAATGAGTCAAGTGATGATCACAGCTTTTGGAACTGCATCCAGGTAACTTTACCTCTGAATAAATGATTGAGGATTTATAAATATTAATTTTATCTATTTTCTTAATTTATAAATCAAATTAATATTAATAATTAATAAATTAATGGAAATATTTAAAATGTTAAATTTTCTTTAAGTTTAATAATTCCTATTCAATAATCTGTATCTGACAAACACTAATTTAATAAACATTTCTGTATTGTAGACTTAATTTAAAAAGTGAAGATTAAATCAAGATTGATTTATACTTATATTGTTATAAAGTTACATAAGGGATCCGGCTTCTATAAAAAAATTCCATTTAAAAATATTTATTATAAAAGTTTTAAGCCTAGTATTAAATCTAACAAAAAATATAAAATATTAAATAATAAATAATTTATTTCCATATGAAAAAATGTATATCAAGATATGAAATTAATGTAAATTAAGATTATTCTTATGTTAAGTTCTGCTACGCTGCCAATAACCTTGCAGTGTATGGATAATATGGGAGTGGATTCAAGGATATCACGTTTCGTTGTGCCGATAGGTGCAACCATTAATATGGATGGTACAGCATTGTACGAGGCTGTAGCTGCCATATTCATTGCTCAAGTTCGACACGTGCCTATGAATATTAGCAAAATTATTGGTGTTAGTATAACTGCTACAGCAGCCAGCATAGGAGCTGCTGGCATACCTCAAGCGGGATTGGTCACAATGGTTATGGTGCTTAATAGCGTTGGATTGCCAGATAAAGATGTCACTCTGATTCTTGCTGTTGATTGGCTTTTGTAAGTTAAATGAATTGATTTGCCAAATAATAATAAAATTTTTAAACCGTAAAATCCAAATAATTTATTAATTTATGGTACCTAGTAATACACTTATCAAATGTTATTTTTTAAAATAATTGTAGTACAGGATTTTTATTTAAATATAATTAATAACAAAATCATCATTTAGTATAAGAATTTTATCAGAAAATTATGTAACAAAAAAATTTTTAAATTTCGAAATTTTTTTTGGTTTGTTCAATATAATTGAAACCGTGCACTTTTTTAAAATTAATATTCACATATATATTAAATATGTAAATTGTGTAAAATACACATAATTTATTGAAATTCAAAGTTCTTATGTAAAAAATTTAATTTCTCAAAAAAATATAATTTAATGTGAAACGTAATGAAATCACAGCTAATTTTTTTTTTTAAAATTATTTCGAATTCTTGTAATTGACTGTATATTATCTAATTTCTAATAAAAAATGTAAATGCACATTATATAAATAAATACAATTAAATTTTCAATTATTTTCTAGAGATCGATTTCGAACTACAGTAAATGTGATGTGTGATGCTTTAGCAGCTATAATTATTGACAAAATGAGCAAAGTTGAACTTGATTCAGCTGATAATGAAGGATTACACAATGCAACCGAGCTTGCACATTTAAGGAAGATAGAAAATTAAAAATGTATTTTATTCTAATTTTTTACATTATTTATCAATTAGAGTAATAGTTAACTTATCGATGTATTCATTCATAATAATTAATAGAGTTCTAATTTTTTTTCAATCGTCAATATTACATAGAAGTATAATTGATAATAGTTTTTTAAATATTCAAAATTTAAAAAAGGAATACACTATATAATTATCAGATACCCATCTTATAATATTAATTTAACAATAAATCTTATAACCATTATATATACGGTTACTATAATTTTATTAATAAAAGTTAATGTTGTTTACTATTTAAAAATGTATACATGTTATATACAAATATATATATAAATATACAAAAAAATATATTAATTTCATATCTTAAAAATTTTAAAAAAATTTTACTCCTTCATTATTATCAAATATTATTAATTCAGCTTTCTTAGACATTTCTAATATCCTTAAAGCTCTAACAAGTACTTCATTGTCCAAACCATAAAATTCTGTACAAAATTAACATATAATTAATGAAAAATAAAATGATTTTAAGTAAATGAACAGTACTTATATATTCATAATATACCTTGATTTATTATATCATCTCCTTGAGTTAATTCATAAAATGTACAGACAGACCCAATGAATCCATTCTCTTGTACCCAAGAGTAAATAATATCTGCCCATTCCTCTACTGTATGCCATGAAATAATCCACCGATGTTTTGATTTATCTAAATAGTTTGCATTACCAGTTTTTGTTAATTCTTCTAATATTATTGATACTACATCTAATGGTAATTTTCCTAATTTTATTAAGTCAAAGTATATAAATATGGTTTCACATATATAAAGACAATATTTTTTAAAAGGATACTATTGATATCTGAATTATTAAATAATGGGCTGTTATATATATCTCGGATATCCAAAATTGTCTGTTTTGTTATGCGGCAATAGTTTAAAATTAAATTTTTCCATGCTGCTATTTGTTTAGCTTTTGTCTCTGCATGAGGTTGAAGACTAAATAGTTAAAAATTTATTATATAATCAATTATATATAATATATCAATTAGATATAATTTAAAATAAAATTTTTTTTTCAATTTTTTTTCATAAATAGCAATTACAAAAAAAACTGATATGAAACAAATGAAGTTAAATTTTAAAAATCTAACTGTTTAATGATGCATTTTTTTATTAATTAATTTAACAGTAATTAAATATATTACTGGAATTTTTAAGCTTTACAATAAATTATGGAATCTAGACAAATTTTATTTAGCAAAAACATGCGGTTTATTTTTGAGGCCATAATTGATTAAAAATTTATTAGAAGATAAAATATAACCTATAAATTCTTAATCTTTAAGAGAACTTCTATATGTGATAAACTAATATTATATATTATTTAACTTTAATTATGAAAATGGAATTAATAAAATGTTTTACGTAAAAAATGGGGGAAAACTATACTGCCATGGCCAGTCCATTTCACTCATTATGAACTATGATTACTAATCTAACTTTATAAAAAAAAGTTTTGTAAGAGTATTGTATTAAAAATGAATATCAATATATTTATTTGAATTTTATTATGTACTATGCTACCGGACCCACGATTACATGGATATCTGTTGGTACGGTATGTTTACAAACTATTAACTATAGGTAATTATTCATAATTATTAAAATGTTCATAATTTAGTTGTTACATGAAATTAGAATGTAACTAGATTATACTATATTCATTGTACTAAATAATGTTTGTCGCATGCGCAATAATGGTTTAGGTTTAGTGAGTTTCTCAAACATGTGCAATATAAATGTCATGTTCTAGAAGATTTATTTTGATTATATCATAAATAGTTTTTAAAAATATTTATTTTGGATATTCTAAATCTTATTATAATATATATAATTATAATTTTAATTTATCAAAATCTAAAATCAATTATTTTGTTTAATTTTGAGATAGTTCGATAAAAAATCTTAAATTTACAATTAATCCAAAAATGTGAATGATTATATTTAAAATCTGGGAGCTGTAAAATAAAAAAAATATTGAAAGTACGGTATTGCAAATTATAAAAATATAAAGATAGAAAAAGTTAAAGTACGTTACTCATTATTTTGAGCTTTGTATTTCAACTTATATTTTTTTTAATTTGATTACAATTAAATAACAATTTTATTACTTAAATGTATTTATTATTTGGTATTCAATATTTAATTATTATTTATATGAGTAATTACATGCATCTTATTAATAGTATTTTGTTTTATAATAAAGTCGATCAAGTATAAATCATGTCTAAAGAAATAACATGATATTGTTATATTTTATTCTTTTGATACGGAATATAATAAGTAATATATTCATGATAATTCTCGTATATATATATATATTCAACGCATCATTTACAGCCAATAAGCCTAGACCGCAGCTGCATATTTAGCAAAGAGTAATATTATTTTCTTTAGCGCAACTAACAATTCAAGATATCAATAAAATTTGCCTATATGTCCATAAATATTGTTCATACAGATTAATTAGTTTCAATATGATTATAATTTTTATAACAATATAATGAAGTAGTTTAAATTTATTGACAAAATACAAATCTTTTGTATTACAAAAAAATTTTAAAATTATTAAAATTCAAGTGCATTTTCTGATTCTATCGATAACTAAAAAAAGTCAAAAAATATTCATTGTAAATTGATGAACCATTATTGCATGCTAGAAAGCGTTTTTATAGAAAATTAATAGATACTAAAATTTTTAAATAGTATCTTTGAAATTTATTTTAAAACAAAATTATAATGGAAACAATTTTTTTTCAACAAAATCAGCAATATTGTTCGTAGAATAAATTTAAAAATAAGTTATTTATTATTTTTTATTTTTAATTTTGTTATGTAAATATTTAAATGGTTTCATAATATACAGACTATCTAAATAATTATTACAAACACGAGAATTAAAAAGAGAATTATAAGTTTATACAAAAAGATATTCATAAAAATAAGGAGTAAATTAAAATTAATAATAAATATAATCTTTAATATTTTTACGTAACAGTTAATACATTGTAAGTTAAGTTTTTCGGTGTTCTCTCATAAAAGTTTTAAAATATTAATTCGATTATTGTGTATAAAAAAATAATGTACTACACAATTTAATAATTAAGATAAATGCATCTATATAATTCTAATATTGTGAACTAATAATGGAAAAATTAAATTCTTAAAATTATTACGAGTTAAAAATAAAATATTTTTAATTATATTTATAAATCAATTTTAAAAGAAATTTTGATTATTTTCGTTTCAGTCACTCTATATATATGAAAATGTTTTTTTAATTAATAACTTTTTATGATATCTCTATTCATATATATTTTTTCCTAAAAAAAATTTCTTATTTTATACTATTCAAAAACTAATGTTTAAACCTATCACATAAAAGTAAAAATCATCTACATACCACAATAAAATAATATAAATTTAAAAAGATATTTTATTTCAATAAATTATATTACGAAATTCGGATAATAAATATATTAGCATTATTTTAAATTTATTATGTTTAATCCAAGCTTCGCCAATTAAATAAAACTATACGAATTAAAAAATTTTTTATAAAATGTAATCGAATGAAATAATATTGAAATTTAATTAAAAGCCAATAAGTAGGCAATAAATTATATATTTAAAGACAATATTATAATAAGTTGCAAAAAATTTAAAAAAGGTTAATTCTTTTATAAAAATTACTTAAAATGAATACGTTAATTAAATGATTAGATAAATAAAATGTAAAAAAAATATTATTTAAGTTTATATATTTTAGTTGAAGATCATCTTAAATATTATAAAGATTATAACGAAATCTATTATATTAATTAATTAAATGTATTGTATTAACCTCATTTTGAAATACATGAACTTTTTTTTTCACTACACATTCAAACTATTCATTTATAATGTTAAATAAACAAAAAATCATTTTATATAAAAAATAATTTTATTTTCCTTAAGTACAATATTTTTATACTAACTAATAATCGTTAGAGTTTTGTTATTCTAATAAATAAAAGTATAATTCATACCGCATATAGTCCATGCGCTAAAGTACATTGTATCGGTTTCCATATTTGTAATTAAATTTGATTAGGATGGAATAATTTTTTAAATATATCTCATCTTTTTATATATAAAGTAAACATCTTAAATATTATTCATTTTTTCAATTTTTTGTTTCATTTTATTGTTGTTGAATGTATAAATTCATGATACAATTTTAATTAATATCCAAATAGATTTTTGAATATCAGATTAATTAATACTTTTAAAAAATTGTTTTAAATTCGAATAATAAATTAATATGTATATTTATTTATTTTTGTAAATAAATTATGATATAATTATTAATTACAATACTTATAAATAAATAAATAAATATATATATATGTATATATGAATATACATATATGTTCGGGATTGATGCAGTCCCATGAATTTCAAACAAAAGAAAGGTCATACGCGCTGTCCGGCGTACCACATGTGCGCCTAGACTGACCGCATGTGCGCCTAGACTGGCCCGCATGTGCGGACCGGGACGGGTACTCGAGCGAATATTTACAAACAAAACTCGGCAAGTCCGAGCAAGTTTACGACCCGAAATATAATATACTGTAAGAACAATCAAGGATATTACTCCTACTTTTCTCTCGTCGAACATTCTTCAAGGTTCTAGATTTTTCCTTCGACGCCTCTTGTAAGAATTAGTGCAACAACGACGATGCCTTGTTGCCAGCTAAGTGAGCCGCCACGTGCCTATATAAGGGACGCACGCGGCGCGTCTCGCTCTCTTGCTGAAGATACCTCTTGCTGAAGATACCTCTTGCTGAAGATACCTCTTGCTGAAGATACCTCTTGCTGAAGATACCTCTTGCTGAAGATACCTCTTGCTGAAGATACCTCTTGCTGAAGATACCTCTTGCTGAAGATACCTCTTGCTGAAGATACCTCTTGCTGAAGATACCTCTTGCTGAAGATACCTCTTGCTGAAGATACCTCTTGCTGAAGATACCTCTTGCTGAAGATACCTCTTGCTGAAGATACCTCTTGCTGAAGATACCTCTTGCTGAAGATACCTCTTGCTGAAGATACCTCTTGCTGAAGATACCTCTTGCTGAAGATACCTCTTGCTGAAGATACCTCTTGCTGAAGATACCTCTTGCTGAAGATACCTCTTGCTGAAGATACCTCTTGCTGAAGATACCTCTTGCTGAAGATACCTCTTGCTGAAGATACCTCTTGCTGAAGATACCTCTTGCTGAAGATACCTCTTGCTGAAGATACCTCTTGCTGAAGATATCGCTTGCTGAAGATAACTCTCGCTGAGAATCATCTCTTGACGAACCACCATCGCTCAACTGCGCTTGCGGCCAACATCTTGTTGTGACCCAACCGCAATGACCGACCATAGTGAACCGATTCAATCATCTACCAGTAGAAGCCATGGTACACGGGTCTCGATCTGCCCTCAGCAGGACCGCCATGGAACGGTCGGTATTTTCAGCAGAGCCGCCACGGAATGATCAAGCCTTCGGTTCGTGCGCGTATTGAAAAGGCTCATACGCTCATTTGTAATATCACTTCGTGCTCACTCAAGCGTAACTGCCGCTCAATGTATAGTATACTGTGAAGACGACGCGTGGCCATATAATCGGCATCATAGTTAAAAGTACTCGCGTGCATACGAATAAGAAATCGGCAGATTAGATAATGATTACAGTGAAGCCAACGGAATAGTAATCAAAGGAAACATTAATTAAATAGCAATCAACAGACTTTACCAACACTTTACAAGGTACCTATTTTTATATTAATAAATAAACTAGTCACATCTACTACAAGAAACCTGGGCAATTTCGCATCCCCTGACGTAGTCGACAGCTGATGGACACTTGGTCGTGCATTCTCTGAAATAAACACCAAGTGATGAGCGCGTGGTCGCGCATTCTCTGAGTTAACTCAATGACACAGTAAGTCAAGGCCGGACTTCAATATATCGACTGATCAACAGTAAGGACATTTTCCAGAAATCCTCTTGCTGAAGATACCTCTTGCTGAAGATATCGCTTGCTGAAGATAACTCTCGCTGAGAATCATCTCTTGACGAACCACCATCGCTCAACTGCGCTTGCGGCCAACATCTTGTTGTGACCCAACCGCAATGACCGACCATAGTGAACCGATTCAATCATCTACCAGTAGAAGCCATGGTACACGGGTCTCGATCTGCCCTCAGCAGGACCGCCATGGAACGGTCGGTATTTTCAGCAGAGCCGCCACGGAATGATCAAGCCTTCGGTTCGTGCGCGTATTGAAAAGGCTCATACGCTCATTTGTAATATCACTTCGTGCTCACTCAAGCGTAACTGCCGCTCAATGTATAGTATACTGTGAAGACGACGCGTGGCCATATAATCGGCATCATAGTTAACAGTACTTGCGTACATACGAAAAGGAAATCGGCAGAGTAGATAGTGATTACAGTGAAGCCAATGGAATAGTAATCAAAGGAAACATTAATTAAATAGCAATCAACAGACTTTACCAACACTTTACAAGGTACCTATTTTTATATTAATAAATAAACTAGTCACATCTACTACAAGAAACCTGGGCAATTTCGCATCCCCTGACGTAGTCGACAGCTGATGGACACTTGG